ACGCGTTCTCGCGCAACCATTCGATTTTGGCTACGAACCCATATATATGCGTTTTCGCATAACCGTTCGATTTTGGTTCGGAAACCAAAGCGTGTAGCAGACTACGATGCCTCGATGGGCGCGGTTGATGAAATCGATACGATTTTGAGTTCGATTCGCCGCGTTCGAAAAAGCACAAAATGGTATAACAAATATTTCTTCCACCTCTTAGACCTCGCTATATACAATGCGTATATTCTTTATAAAAATGCTAACAATAAAACTGACACGTTTGAAAAATTTCATCCGCTTCTCGTGAAAGATATTTTGCGGGAATACCCANTACAATGCGTATATTCTTTATAAAAATGCTAACAATAAAACTGACACGTTTGAAAAATTTCATCCGCTTCTCGTGAAAGATATTTTGCGGGAATACCCACCGCATAGAGTAGAGGCTAAAAAGGAGGAAGAGTTTGTTCGATCGACTTTCCGTTTCGGTCAACGGAGAGGCATTTCCCTGCATCCCGCGTAACTAAAGAAAATAAAGAAACATTCTTCGCGATGCGGATGCGCTGTTTGCGCTAAAAATAATCGCGGAACCGACTCGCGTTTCGAAGGCAAAAATTGTAACATTGGCTTACGTATCGAACCCTACTTCGAGATTTACCACGCGATACAAAATTATGAAATTTTCAATTTAAAAGATATAATTTACCACTGTTGCATCGTTCGTGTTATCGTTGCTCGATGAAATAAACGGTTATCGAGGCTTTCGAGGTCACCGCATAATTTATTTCGGTTACAATCGATATATCTTGCGATGAAAATTCAGTCTGCTCAACTTGCGCTCTTTCGTAAAAAGTGCGCAGCCCAAGGTAGGCTTTTTCGTACCGAGTGGGCGGTCCATGGCGCACGCTCAACGTCGGGCAACTCGGCGCTCAAAGGGTTAAAATGTCTTCGAGTGCAAAGGGTTAATTTTCAAGAACGTGTGTCACAAACAACAAGATCAATGCGAAGTTGTGCCAGTCGCGAACTTCTTACGGAATGTAAATACAGCGACTCCCGTTAATATTCGGACTCTTTTCAAAACACTTTCACTTTTTAGAACTGGACTAAACGACTCGAATTTCTTTTTAGACGACAGAGCGACCAATCCACTAGGCCGTAACTAGAATGCTTCTTTTTCTTTTTTTAATTTTGCTATCGCTTAGAACGACGAAAGAAAAGAAAAAATTCTCGTTTCTTAACTTTCTTTATCTGAGCCTGCAACGAAAATTGAAAAAATTTGTTTCGTAGATCTCGGCAAGTTGTACGCGTGTTAAAAATTTGATCGAAATCGGTCGACCTTCGTACGAGCTGTAAACGATTAAAGATCGCAAAAATCGCAGCACGTGTTTCTGCGCCACCTCCTTTAGCTGCTAATAAAACGATTAAACGACGAGAAACGAACAACCACAAAACACGTATCCCCTGGTCCAACACGAGCCTAACCAGTTGCGTTTACATCTATTTGGCCCGACCGACGCACCACGGCTCTCATTTCTGGCCCGATCTTCCGACCACGTCTCTCGAACGTAGTTGTAGGTTAAATTCAAAATAAATCAAATGGTTGAAAGGCCGCCTACTCCACTTTCGACGGCACCTTTTCTACCACTTCGTTCGATAACCGTTTCAACGGCTCAAAAAAGATAAAAACTCCAACAAAGATGCAAAATACGTAATCGATACGCGATGGTCCCTCGAGGTTAAATTCCTAGTGCGACGACTTCGAAGAATCGTTGTTTCGCACAAAAGTTCAAGTTTCCATAAACGTCCAGCAGGTTACCGCGACGAATGTTATCCGTTGACAACCAAACGGTGCTCTCCGTATCGGTTCGAAGATGCGCGAAGCTTCGAACGATCTTGCTCGACGTTTCGTTGATCGCTTGTTTCGGATGTCACGGTAGGAGTCCTCTTTTCGAGACGATACCGAACCAACGTGGACCCCTCGACCGCGCACGCTCCGCCGTCGGAATCGGTGTGAAACCGTCTCGGAACTAATCCGAGCGTCGCGCGTCGCTCGCGGTGAATAGCCGATGCAGCAGTGCAACTCTCTCCCTAACATACCAACGGTGGTCATTCAAGTCCCGCGCTTTCGCAATGCGAGCATACTCTCCAGTTGCTGATTTTTTCATTCCGCGTCTCGGTTAGGTTAGAAGCCGCCGCGCGACTGCGAACACGTTTCCCGACTCCTCTTTCATCGGCTGGACACCGACCGTCTTACGGAATCTCCCGGATTTCGTGTTCGCGTTCGACAAAAATGGACTCAACTTCGACTTGTTTTTGTTTCCGAAACGTTCCCGAACGAAAAATTACCAATTCGACGCGAACGTATGCTTTCGGGACCGACCGAAAGAAAATTAAAAAATATACAGTAATGTCCCTCTTCTCGGCGTAACTCGAGTATGCCAATCCCGACGCCGAGATATTGCCACGGCCCTGTAATTTATCGATTTCTCGCGGCCCTTTAATTCATCGATTTTCTCGCTATGCTAAAGTTCGATGGTGTTGGTGAACACGTGTGCTGCGGCACGCGCCCCGGCTCCTTCGACTCGAATTCCCGGAAGACAACTCATAATGCAATGACATAACTTTTTTTAATTTTAACATTTTAACACTGATCTTTTTTTTAACATATTGCTGATAGTTTTCCGATTAAAATGAGACCAAACACGATAATTTTACTGCCAAGATGCGCGTGCTGTGCAGTGGAAAAGAGTTTAGGCAAAGTTGTCGACTTTACCGATGTCGTAACAAATAATGTAAAAAAAAAATTAATTTGTAAATAATTCATATTCAAATTGGCTAAATGTCATGTTCTTTCTCGATGTTCGACATCTTAAAATTCCAGGGTCGATGGAAAATGTACAGAAAACGGTTCCTTTACAGTCTCCACGCGTAGGCTCGTCCTCGAAACGATGTCGCTTCTCCCGTCCCAGCAAATTTCAAACATGGAACTCTTCGTTCTCGGCCGTCTTCGTTTCCTTCTGTCTCCCATCCGTATAAAGCTTCCTATTCCCGGTGTCTAACGTAGGCTCGAATAGCGTAACTTTGGCGATATTTTCTTTCGAAAAACATACGTACATACCTTCTTTGACCTTGCCTTTAATATTTCATATGTTAAAAATCGGTTTTTGTAATGCTTTTTTCACAAATAAAATAAGTTACTTATCACGTATAACGAATAAGAATGGTCTAAAGCACGTCGTGTTTGGTATCATTTTAATTGGAAAAATGTGACCGATATATTAAAAAAAATTTCATGTATAAAAAAATAGAAATAAAAAAGTTATGTCATCGTTTTTATCCTATCGTTACAATGTTGTTCACCGGCTGTCTCCGATGCTGACCGCTGCCTTGCATACATAGTATACAACATAGTTTCGCTCGACTCGAGTTTCGTTCTATCTCCCTCCCTTTCACGAGGTGTCGGCAACAATAAAGACGAGCCGCGAGACTCGAAGAAATAAATTCCCGCGTACTACTCTCGACACTTTAGAATTCGGTCCCGGCGACAGATAGGGAGACATTACTGTATACAGTAATTTCGGCCGAAAATGTTCGGTGGTCGGAATTGAAACTAAGTCGCGATTCTTCGAGCCTCGCGGCTCGTTTTTATAGAAACTCGGGGCAGTCGGCGAAAAAAAGGCAGCTTTTTCTTACCCGACTCGCACCCAAACACACTATTTTTTGTCACCTCCAGGGAAGTCGCGTCGCGTGCCGCATAACACGCTCGACCGACTCCGTCGACCCTTGTCATCGAAGTAGCGATAAATTACATAGGCGTAGGACTGGCACAAGAAAATTCACAGGAACCCGAAATTTGGCATTTCCGGGATACGTTACTGTATCACAGGTTGACCGAAACGTTTCTGTCGTTTAGCCTATTCGACGTTAAGCGATATAAAAATTACCGAGAAATTAGTACAGCATTGTATTTCGTGGAAACGTCGCGAACGAATTCTCCGATCGGACCGATTTATCTCGTAGACGAGTACAGTAAATTCTCCCGAATTTTCGTTCAGCTTGTAAACAAAATAAAATTGCACCTCGTTTTTATAATCGGTGACAATCGGTGACTATACGAATTAGTCGCGGGGCTCGAATAATCGTATCTCCTCTTCCCAGATTGTCCATGTTTGTTTACAAGCCGAGGGAAAATTCGGGAGAATTTACTGTATTTAGAACTTTGAATCGCGCGACTCGATAAATTCGACGCGTAACGCGTCCTTGCGTCGAGAATGAGAATATTCTAGGGAGTTCGAGGTAGACCGTGGATCTTTGCGCGGAATAAAAACGATCGAATCGTCGGAAATCAAAATTTCGGAAGAAATGTAGGGAAAAATATTCGTTCAAAAATTTCGTACAATTCGGAGCCCGAATTGTTCGAAGGAATAAATAACCCATTCGTGAAATCTTTAACTTAGGGTGTACCCGTCGGTGATCCCTTGACATAAATTGGATTACCGATCTGTGAATGCAGCTTTGTTATTGGTACTGTCGGGAAGGTCGGGGCATCTCGAGCATTGTAAACAAACCAGAATCGACGCGCCAGCGAAGCAACCGAGTAATTTAATAATACAGGGTGTCCCAAAAATGTCTCGCAATCCGAAAGTAGCGGGTTCCTCGGGTCATTCGAAGCAACTTCTTCCTTTACAAAAATTTTCTTCGAGGCACCGTTAACGAGTTATCAACGAAAAACAGTGACCAATGAGAGGCGAGCTCGGCTGGCGCGAGGCGACCGAGCCAATGAGCGGAACTGGGCTTCGTGCGCCGGTTGGCTGGGCCGCCTCGCGTCAGCCGTACTCGATTCTTATTGATCCGGATTACGAGACATTTTTGGGACACCCTGTATACTGCACGGCGTCCGTCGGGAACAGCTCTCGACGAGTCAGACTCGTCAAAGTCTACGGTGGCGCATGAAACGAACGACGACCTTGTACGTCAAGGTTATATTAGGGTGTTAAGGTTAAGGGTGTCCGCGGTAAATGCTTTACTAAAAAATAAAAAAATAGCCCGGCCATAGTCCGGTCCCTTGAATTTACGCTAGAATAACGTAGACGCCGCCGATGATTATTCGAGGCACTTGCCGATGATGTATCATACGATCTGTTATGTTCTTACTGGTCTATTTCAGTGACGGGCTTGCCCGGCCCGGAGCGAAGGGTCAGCATGAGGGTGCAACGTAGGGAGGCCATGGCTGCGGGCGAAATGCAGCCGAAGTCCAAGTGAGTTGTTATATCACGCAACGCGGCATCGTCGCCGCGCTAAACCGCCTAAGTATAACTCGCTCTGCCTAGCATTTAGACTCGGGGTGTGGTCTTTCGCTGTGCGCGGTTTTTTCGCGCTGCACAACCGGTTGCACGTCTTCCCCCTCCCCTCGTCTTTCCGAATTCTATCGTCGACGCACAAGTGGACGCAGCCGCGCTCGCTGGATCCTGACGCGTTGTCGCGATCGATTCCGCAGCGGAGTCGTCCGCTTCGCGATCCTCTCCGCGTCTCGATACAACGAAGAATTCTTTTGTCGCCGATCGCCGCGGTCCTCTTTCCCTTCTCGCGTTCCTCCGAAAGAAGACACCCGACTTATTTTAACACTTTATCGTCCGGTCGTGGTTGTGGCTGCCACTTGGTAAAGGTTATGTCAATGCATTTGCTCCCAGTACCGGCTAAATTTTCGCTATTCATTGTGTTGTGCTTATTCCTTTAAAAATAATAATAAATAATAATAATAATCATTATAATCCATAAGGATATGGAGAGGTTAGTATACAGCTGCTAACGAAACAGTAAAGAAACGAAAATCGTCGACAGCTAGAAGCCGAATAATAGGCTATCGGTCGATAAGCGTTGGCAATCGAAAAGCCGATAAATAGGCCAGCGGTCGGTAAACATTGGCAATCGAAAAGCCGATAAATAGGCCAGCGGTCGATAAAGTGTTGATTTATCTTAAAGAAGATAATTTTACGCGCTCGCTGACAAAAATTAGCGAATCGATTTCGAAACGGTAAACGCATTCGATATATTTTTGAAAACGTTGTCGTACTATTTACAACACGTTCGAATTATTCGGGAAATAAATCAATATTTCTGGAGCTGCCGCGTCTCGCGCCTAGCGCGGACTATTTTTATTTCGCATCGAAATTCGCAGATCACCGATTTTACTTTCGAACTAGTTCGAATGATCTCCAAGTTCGGAAGCGAGATTATTCGAATGTAACGAGAGTAGAGCGCGGAAGGGTGTTTTCGTTCGGAACGAATTTGAAAAATGCCAAATCGACGATCGCGGGTGTGCACCAGTTTCCGGCACTTTCGCACGGTACAATAATTTCCTCCCTAATTCGCGGTCAGCTCGTAAACAAAAGTGGACAATTTGGGAAGAGGAGGTACGATTGTTCGAACCTTGTGGCTCGTTTTTATAGTCGTCGACGATCGGTAACTACAAAAACAAGCCTCGAATAACCGCACCCTCTCTGCCCAAATTGTCCATGTCTGCGCGCAATCTGACTGCGAATTAGGGAGGAAATTACTGTACAATAAATTCCCCCTAATTTTCCTTCGGCTTGCAAACAAAGATGAACAATTCGGGCAGAGCAGACAAATTGTGCATTCTTGTTTCCAAGCTGAGCGTCGAGTACAGTAATGTCTCCCTAACAGACGCTTAGACGCGCGCGAAAATGGACAATTTGGGAGGAGGAGACACGATTATTCGAGTCTCGCGTCTCGTTTTTTATAATCGTTGAAGATTGGTAATTATAAAAAGACTCGAAATTAATCGTATCTCCTCTTGTCAAACTAGTCCATTTTTCTGCACAATTCGAGCACCGGTTAGAGAAACATTACTGTACGTTGCTTTTAAGACGTTCGCTGCTGCCATTTGTCTCGCTTTACAGTCCCATTCGTAGTTCAAGGTTATGCCAAGGTTGAAGATATGAAATAAGGGGTTCCTGGGGTGATGTGTAGCAACTTTTTCCTCAGCGAAAATT